GAAAAAAATTAAAAAAAATTTAAATAAACCATTCTACCTTTAAACGCTGGCAAAACAGCAAAGGTTTCAGCAATGCCACACTGGCGCCATCTGGTGGACACATTTGAACACACACACACACACACACACACACACACACACACACACACATTTGCCAAAGCACTGCCAGGATAGGAACAGTTGTCCAAGGCCCTCAGGACCAAGAAACTAGACAAATATTCAAATGGATGACTGCATTAAATATGGGGCCTCAAATGAGCACTCAGAACTGCCTGAGAAGATTTCACTCCTTCTCTATTCTCAAGCCTGAGATCTCATCTCCCTTCCCCTTTTCCCCCTTCCTGTCTATTAAGAACCTGGCTTCTTACTTGCTAAGAAAACAAGCCCCATCTCACCTCCCTGCACACCCCACCTATCACCTCCCTGCACCTGTGCTTCCTACCCTGCCCCACTCAGCTAGATCACTACCATGTGCATACAACTAAGCTGTAATATCTCCTACCTTACAAGAGAAAAGCAATCCCATCCTAACCCCATGTTCCTCTCTGCACTGAATCCAGCACTAACCATGTCCTGCTCAGGACATCCCCGCCCAGTTGCCTGGGACCACCTACTGTAGCCCCTAGCTGGAGGCCGGCTCTTACTCTGGGTCAGGGTCCAGAGTGGCCTTGTCTAGTCATGAACAGGTCCCACTTCTCCCATGATCATGGCCCCAGAGTCCCTTACCTTAGATTACAATCTGACCTGCTCACCTTGGCCTCACAGGCTTCATTTCTGGTAGTGATGGTCTGTCAGGGCTCAGAGCCTCCAGCCACATCTGCCTTGCTGTCCTGCCTCAGAGGCACCTCATTTATCCCCACCTCTGAGAGTGCATCCGTACCCCTCTCTCCATACACTGTCGCCTGGCTGGCATTTTTCACTGGTCAGTTCTCTACTCAAATGTCACCCCCTCTTCTGAAATAGTGTCTTCATCTCTATTCCACTAACCTGCTCTTATTTCTTTCTGAGCACTTAACCACTACTTCAAGGAACCTTGTTCATTTTCTGTCCATGTCCCCACAACAAGCACATCACTGCACAAGAACAGAAGCTTCTTTGTCTCATTCACTGTTAAACTAGTACAGCACAGGCTGTTGGTCCCTGATCCCATGTGGCAGATGAGGAAACGGAAGCTAACAGAAATCAAGCAACTTGACCATCATCAAATGCAGAGGCCAGAGCTAAACCCTGGTCCGGACAATTCCAAATTCCATGTCCTTAGCTTGCTGCACTAAACTGCCACAAGTACAGCTCTGGGGCTTGAAAACAGTCATTCTACACCCTCTGAGAAGGCCCCCTGGATTTGAACTAGATAAGATCAGATCCAGCATTATCCTGGGTTCTTTTGATTTTTACATGTTGGCATCTTCAGAGGCTCTGAAACCTCGAGGATAAACCAAAATACCTATTGTGATTATATTACTTGAACCCTAAAATAAAGCAGAAGACAATTTCAAAGCTATCCAGATGCCACCCTAGTAACAATACCCGGCTCTGGCTCTAGCAGG